ATCCTACTCCCCAACTAACCCGCCAGGGGGGTGTTTGTGGGTGAGTAATTTCTGGGAGTTGTAGTCCACATGTCTTAAAATGGCCAAGGTTGAGAATCACTGATCTAAGGGAAAGGGAGATGTGCCTGTTAATCATTGGCTTTGATTTAGCCCATCATTCAATATCATTCTCAGCTGTGCCAATGGAAAGGCACAGATGGAATAGCTGAACCTCTGTTCGTATTTAGCTGGCATGGCAGATTATTACAGGCTTTGGCCTCCTCAGCTTTGCATGAGCTTGGCTCAGCAGCTTCAGTGCTTCTCCAGCAGCATGAGCTGTTGTGGTGAAAGCCAGGTGCCTCCAGCTGAGCTTGAATGGGCAGCCTGTTCTCCTTGCTTTGCCAATGCCAGTGCTGCCAGGGAATGCTAGAATTGAAAAGAATAATGTTTTAATAGTTTAGTATTGTGCAGTACATCTCTTTATTCTTTTATTGCCTTTCCCTTTCATATAAAAAAGGGGGGGAAATGAGGGCATAAAGCCTCCTTCAACACAAGGGAAAGTTGCAAAATCACACATTCATGGGGCCAAAACATGCAAAATGCATGTCATCTGTTTGCTCTCTCCAAAAACATATTCAGAGAATTGGTTTCATGTTGAATAAAAAGACTTTGTTCTTCTTTGGTTTGAAGCATGCAAAAACAAAACAAAGTAAAACAAAAAAATAGCCAAAGAAACATGCAAGATGCTAGCCTTGTTTCCCTACCCCTCAAGACTTGTAATGAGTCATGAGAAAGCAAATGTTTTTACTAATGCAAATCTTTGTCTCTTCTGTGAAGTTTTAAAAGTTGTTATCCAAACAGATGGTGGAGCAGTTAGTGTTCTTATGCCAGTTAGTTTCTCTGCACTACAGGGATCTAGACAGGCATTCATATCTTGATGGGACTGTTTGCAAATCCCCACAGGCACTGGCCAACAGCACTATAGAATATGAAAACCTGGAGGGTGAGGTGTCAGCCTTGCATGATGACCTATGGGAACAACTGAACCTGGACATCCAGGTGAGAGAATGAAGCCTCTGCGTCGGATGAATTAAAGGGAAATACACCAGAGTCCAGGGTACAATGTTCAGCATGCTGAGTTGCTAGAATGTGTTGGAAATAAGCAGAAGTGCAAACATTACTCAGATTTAGGGAAATCATTCACCCAATTTCTCTGTCTACTAAGTTAGGGAAGTTTTCAGAAGATTAGCTGTGCCCAAAAAGAGTTGTAATATAATTTACTTGAAGAGCTCAAGCTGAGAGAAGGTTGTCTAAGTGTCTTGCAATTAGTACACACTGAAATGCAAAATTCTGTTCATACGAACATTGTGTCATGTATGCCAGGTAGATGTTTAATCCAAGCTTTCGTTTCTGACATATGACATTCTGGTGGCCCCAATTAGTGATGCCATTGTTTTCCATAGTTGCTCTGAAATCATCTTAGTCTTATGTACACATCTGAGTACCTCTCAGGTTCCTCTGAAACGTTATGTGAGTTTATGTGTTCTCCATTAAAGTTTAAATGTAAAGATAAACTAGTTAGAACTAAGCAATTTGTGTCCTCCTCCTCCCATTTCCATAAATGCAATTTGAAAGAAGAAGATTGCAGCTGAATTGATAGGTGCTCTTTTTGCCTCTGGTCTGAAAGATAAGCTGCTTTCTCTCTATTCAGGGCTCCTGCCCGGGAGACTATCCACCAGTAGTTGCCACTCAGGTTTCTTATGGGGGGCTTGTACAATCTTATCAGGGTGTTTGTGCAGTCTGTACAGCTGGACTGGTATTCTCATTGTAGAGATGTTCCAAAGAAAAGATGCCTGGCTTGACTTGGGATACTTCTCATACTTCCAGCTGGATGTCACTACACAAGCCCTGCTTGTACACTGGCAGTTTTCTGGGTGAACATTTAAAGCCAATTCACGCATTGAATTGGCTCATGTTAAAGTCCTCTCCACCTCAAGGACACAGAATGGAAACTGCTTGTGTGAAAGGAAACAGATGCAGATTCATAATATCTCCAGCTATGTGCAAAACCTGAACTTTAGGAAGACATTTAGATTATTTTTCTCCTGATGTATCAATATTTTGCATAGAAATTTTGACAATGTTGAACTTTCATCCACACAACCTCCCTTTGCATTAAGACTATTACATGCATTTCAGCACAAATTCCATTTATTTAGGAAGAGTGATTATAAGTTTGTTTGCAAAGAGGCAAATAAAACAAGATGATAAGAGAGTCATGATTACATCTCTCTTTTTTCTATTTTTAATTGTAAAAACCCTACTTTTTTTCTGAAGAAATTGAGAGCATGATAGAAAAATGCATAGAATGAAAGTTATAAAATCATACAAATGTCATCAGAGCATCAAACTTTGTATGTTCTCCAGTAGCTAAATTATTGGATTGGAAGTGGAACTTGGCTCAGTTCATTAATGCCAGATGTTTGTATCCCAGAAACATATAAAACAAATTACTGTCCTTTGTGGAGGATCAGAGCAGTGAGCAAGAGGCAGAGGCAACTAGATTTTGGATCTCAAAGCATTCTCGGCTTGCGCTACTGAAGCTTGAACCTTTCTAAAATTTACATGCACACATCCTCTATTCCAAAGTAGCATAAACAACCAAGTTAGAAGAATTGTTTTGTTTTTTCAGTGGAGGGCAGGAATTGTTCTGTCTCCCAGTGGAAACAATTGTTTGTGGCAGTAGAAAGGACAGGCAACATCTTGAGTTCTAGTTGGAAAAATGATGTACTTGTCCCTGTGTTTAAATGATGATAAGGTAATGCTTGTTTATATCGTTGTGCATGGGTAATTATAATGGTCTTTAACTCCCATGATAACCATTTACTACGGGTATGTCTGCACACAGATTTCCAATGTAATCTCACTCATCTTGATATGCAGTTGTGTCTCCATATCTGAACTGAGCTGCAATAACAAAATATTTATCACTGGTAGTTGGATGGAAAGGATATCTCCTAGGTAAAGGATATTTCCCAAGTGATCTCTCAGCTGAGTGAACAGAATAACTACTTTCCTGCAGAGATTCCTATTAAAATTGAAATATGACACACTGCTTACCCTATGACTTAAGTATAGGGTAAAGACCCAAATTCTGCCTTTGAAGTTAATCACACAAATAGAAAGGTATGCATATTTTGCAATGTTGCATGTTTGACTGTAAATGATTTTTTTTAAAAACTGGGATACTGGGGCATAAATGGTCATATAGCAGGAGAAGTAATAGGTGAAGGTGAAAACGTGGACATAAAGAGCTATGGCAAGAAACTAGGAGGGAGGTCCCTGTTATCTCTGCATAACATACATATTCTCTTTTAATACAAATATCAGTCAGGTCAAAATCTGGAGAAGGTCAAAAGCTGCAAGAAGGTGTCTATAGTGTCATGATCAAAGCCCTACCCCATTTTAACATTTATTCAAAAGGAGTGGGGCTCTTAGGGCAAGACCACACCTGGCATTTTGCAATTTTGACACACACTCCTGCTGACACCCCTACTGCCAATACCATCTTTACTTATGGACATAATTAACAGGTTCCACCCTGGATGCATTTAACATTGACAGCTACTTCTGCTTTTCTGTGGAAGGGCCTATGCTATGAAACAATGTCCTAGTGGAACTGAGGTGACCCCTTCCTTATTACAATTTAGAATGGAGCTTAAAGCATTTATTTTTATCCAATCATGTTAATGTTTTTTTTAAAGTTTTTAAAAGTTTTTTTTAAAAAAAACTGAGGGGTAGTTTGTTTTTTGTTTTTTGCTTTGCTTTTATTGCAGATAAATATTTGTAAATTGCCATATATGTTTTTGCAGAGTCACAAGGGTAATATGACACATAAGGCAATTAAATGATTCTCAAGATCCTGGCTTCTGATTTCTAAAGTACCGTGTGCTGATGTAGGAGTACCAGCTGCTTTTTTCTTCATCCCAGCGATTTTGGTCGCAACATTGCTTGGAGAACTATAATAAGATATCAAGCAGTGAATCAGAACTATATAGGCACACACTGCCAGAATTGCAGTTGCTTCAAAGAATGTGGCCACTGTGGTAGAAACCAGAATGCAGAATATTGTCTGCATTATATCTACTCCATACATTCCTGCCAGTAGGAAGCTAGCTCTTGGAGTATTCTGCCAACTTAGAGACAAGACTTGTCTACAATCTGAAGGCTGATTAAATCAGGTTTACACACCCACTGATTTCTGCATTAACAATCTCCTGTGAGACACTGTACTTTTCTTTACTTGGGGATTACACAGACTATTCAGAAACTTCAAAACCTCTAGAGACTTAATTGCCAAGAGCTAATAAAGCCAAGTGTCCTCAAGAGAACATGAGCTTAGTCTACAAGAAAGATCACTCAGGGATTGGGCAAGGATGCAGAACTCAAATAATTTAGATAATTACTTTTATTTATTTTTAATTAATTCAGCAGAGATATATCACCACGTTAATTGTGGAAAAGTATTTTTGTGATCACATTTGTAACATAATTGTTTCATCTTTTTACAAAAGAAGGAAACAACTTTCTCTGGCCTTCTTCTCTGCTGCTCTGTACTCCTTTCTCTCACTGCAGGTCTATACCCCAGTCTCTCATCCATTCTTCTTAACATATAGCTTTCCTTCCTTTGACTTCCTTCCCCCCACCCCCCTTTCATTCTGCCTTTGCAATCACTCCTCCACATTCTTTTATGAGTCTCATCTACAGAATACATGAATATAACAAATCCTCAATATATTTTATTAAAAGGCATCTTTGAAGGGGGCAATTTTGTTAGAGAAAGGACAGAGGAAGACATTACTTACTCCTTTGTTGCCTATCCTTTTTCTGCTGAAAGTCCCCTCCCTACAAGATACTTTTTCTACTGCAGAATTCTAATTGCAGATATAGATAAGCCTAGCATTTATAGAAGTAGTTTTCCCCAACTGAGGATCCTCCAGATATGTGGACTTCAATTCCCAGAAGTCCCCAGTCATATGGATGTTACTCAAGTTCAGGAAATCTGTAATAGAGAAACATAACCAAGAACAGAGTGCAGATACTGTTGATGATGCAGTTGCAATTCAACCTGGGGACCAAACTCCACTATTCTACAGCCCAGGGAATTCTGAAGTCACTGCCTGGAGAGCAACACATGATGGGGCATTAGTACAAAGACCCAGGGTCAACATAAATAGTTGTCAAGTAATTGTCCCTTCTTCCTTCCTAAAACATTTTATAGAAAAATGGCAGGTGCCTGGGCATGATAAGGTTGCATATGTTTGTTCTTATGATTCTCCTTTTAAAATATACTGCTTTTTATTAGGGATGATCCAAAGGTTTTCAGCTCAAAAGAGTTGTTTCAAGTTTGAAAGGATCCTTCCAACTGTACTGTACTGTTCCAACCATTCTGGATCTGCTTTAAGCTTTTGAGTTTAAAACAAGTATTTGAGCTTGAAATCAGACTGGTTAGAGCCAAGGACACATCCAGAATGATCAGAATAGCATCGGAGTACTTCCAATAATGTCAGGATAGCTGTTTCAAATTCAAAACAGAACATTTCAAGCTCAAGATATTTTGAATTTGAAATATTTTCCTACCACCATTTTCTTCCATGGTTTGTTGCTTATTCTTAAGTACATGTGCTCAATATCAAGGCAGCAGAAGCAAATTCTGTTTTATTCCCATAATCATGATGAAGCTATGCTTTAAATAGATTTTAAAGGAAACACTGCACATGCACAGAATATTTCTTTCCTTAGTCATACTTCTTTTTGTTGGTTGCTCTACTTTATCTAATTTACAGTAAAGCAGTTGTTAGGTATGAAGTGATATCCTGGTGGTGGAGGCAAGAAAAGAAGTATACATATCACAACTGATCCAATACTGTACTCGTGGTTGCCTAAAATTACCCCTCCCCTGCCCAACAATTAAGTATAGGAAATTAATCACCAACAGTACTGCTTAGTTTAATTAAATGTGGACTTGCTTCTCTACCTTGACTCTTTCAGAATGAAATGCTCAACAGGCAAATCCAGAAAGAGATCTGGCGGATCCAGGATGTGATGGAGGGGCTCAAAAAGAACAACCCCTCTCGGGGCACAGACACTGCAAAACACAGAGGTAAGTGCCACTTCTTTTATTCAGGGAGTTCTGGATTTTTACTCCTTAACCTAGGAGGTGCTGATACAGTGCTCAATTAATATTTGAATATCTGTCATTGCTTTTGTAAAATGAACACCCATTATTTGCTACCTGAAGTGCTCATTAGATTCTTTTGGGTACTGTTGCAATCAGTGTAGAATTACCATTTGTTGCACTTTCATGCTGCATCCTGGGAGCATTACTTTGCAGCCAAGCCAAAGTGCTATTGACCAGTCCTTGAGCAGGCAAAAAACTACACTGGTGTAACATTTTCTGCCCCCTCTGGCAATCCCTAACCTGCTACAGACACAATGCTCCAAATGATGCAAAGTGCACAAGGCACATTAAGGCCAGGAATTAGTTGACTCCTCAACTTTTGTTTTCTTCCCCTCTCATCAAATGTCACTAGCTGGCAGGAAAACATGTACCTCTCACTCTCCTTATCATGGAATGGATCTGGGGCTGAAGAAAGAGTTGAATTTTGACAGATAGCTAGACTAGAAGTTTAACCATCTGTCAAAACTCACCCTGGTTAGGCTCACTTGTTTTGTGTAAGTTCAAAGTGATGTCATGTGGTGGCTGGGCTCCTTTTGGATAGGGTTTAGCACTAGTCCAGAAGAGCACGAAACCTTCATTCAAAAGCAGTATGAGCAACAGCTAACAGTTCAGGGACAGTTGTACTAGGAAGCAGCAGAAAGAAGCAACTCTCTTCTGCTTCACCATGTACCACCTCCTCCCCACTACCAGTACTGGTAAGCCTAGTTCCAGGATTCCAAACCAGTTTTCCAAGACTGGCAGGTTACAGGGAGAGAGCCTGGTTTAAAAGAACCAGACTCTCCTACTACCCAAGCAGAATGGTCCTGGAAGACAGTGTCTAGAGACTGGGGGGGGGGGGGGGGGGGGGGGACATACCCACAACAGCCTAAACTAGTCAATAGCACTAGATTGTTGGCTGATCCTACCCATGATTGTACCACTAATCGAACACTCAATGAAGCTTGTCATATTGCATCTATGGCAAAACCTGTGTTTAGGAGGAAAACACTCCTGCAGTGCCAGTTCAGTTAAGGACTACTTAAGGCTATCCTTACCTATATGAGCTGGTGTTCTTACAAAGACTACATCATGAGGACACATCAGAAAAAAATTATGAGAGCACATTTGTGCTGTACTTAGATGCAAATGAGAAAAAGCGTTCAGTGTCAGAGTTACTCCATTGTCCAAAATTGGATTTTCCATAAGGCTTCTGAACAGTATGAGGCTGAACTGGGCCCTGAATGGCAGAAACTACAAAGAGTTCCTGAAGATCCTACAAATTTGTAGTCCTCAGAGAAAGAACAGTGGATTTCAGAAAATGTCTTTTCAACTATATTGTTCATTTCATCTATTTCTAGTGCCCAAATAAGTCAATGGAAATGGCCCTTCAGTTCAATAGTGTTTTTAACTGTGTTGCAGAAAAGTCTGCACAGTGATCTGAAGAAAAGCATTCTTCAATCTTTAATATCCAAGTATTTTGGACTCTAATATTCAACTCCTATAATGCCCAACCAGAACAGTCTGTGGCTCATTTTAAAAATATAATAGAAAGTTCAGTTCTGTAACTATGCTATGTGCACCCTATTTGCTACATAGCAACTTGTGTAGGCAGCAGCATTTTTTATAACTGCTCTGATACTCCTCTTGATGATACTGCTTTAATCTTTTTATTTTCCTTATGCCATTTCTGTTTAACTAGTGCACCTAAAACCACTGATAGTCTTATCCTTCATAAATTTGTCTAAACTTTTAAACCAGCTACTTTGCAGCAGCTATCCTCACACCTCGTGGCAATAAATTCCATCAGTTAAACGTGGGTTGAGGGAAGGAATTATTTTTTGTTGTCAGTCCTGAACTGACTGTATCTCAAATGGCATTTGAGTCTTACTTCTCACTATTCATTATTTCCATGTGAGGCATAATTTTATAAGCTGCCTCTTTTTAAAACTAAAAAGCTCTGAATGCATTAGTCATATTCTTAAAGGGAAGGCCCCTAATCATCTGAATACCCTTTTCTGTACTTTTTCCATCTGTCTCTTACCTACTTAGAAATGAAATCACCATGCAAAGCATTCTAGATTGAGTTGTGTATGCCTTCTTGTTTTATGATCAAGTGTCTGAGGTTTTAATATTCCCTCCCCCCATCACTTCCATCTCACAAAACTAATGGCAATCTACTAAATGATGATGCTGATATAATTATTTCGAATCTGAGTATCTGCTTTTATCTTAATGCCCTGCATGAAATGTTTTTCAGCTGTAGCTGAAAAAGTTCTGTTTCCAGCCCTGATGCATAGCAGCTCCCTGTCTGAGCTGCTCAGAGCTATTTGGAGTGGAGGAGCATAGAAGTTTCATAAATAAATGATTAAATAACTTAGGTAGCTATCCAATAGAATTGGCCTCTTCTGTGATCAACCAAAGGTAGCAATCCATAACGAATAGAATTAGTCAAGCATAGTTTTATTTTTAGAATGGCTGCAATGATGGTACTAGGATTAAACTAATGGATATAAGTTAAGGGTCCTACAGCCCAAGGTTCTACATATTCAGAGCTACATATGCCTTTAAAACAAACAGTAGAGATCCTGTTCTGACCTTCTTTATCTCTAGAGAGGGGAAGAATAGCAAGAAAGATACTATGTATGAGGTGGGGAGTACCTAAAAGATGGAAGTGGTAGGAGTACTGGAGGTGGGGGACTATCCAGACATCATTTTGCCCACAGTCCTCTCTACATTGGATTCCTCAGTTAAAGTACTTTCTTCTCATCTGTGAAATCAGCATAGAGTTTGCTGTCCCCACTGCTAGTCCCCACTGCCTCTGTTCTGACTTGCAGAAGAAGGACAACTGTGATTGGCAATGGTTTTTAACATATGACTAGACTGTAGGGCTTAACCTTCTGTGAAAACTAGTCCTCCCTTCACTTGGCCTTTCACCAAACCTAGGGTCAGTTGGTAAGAAGTGGTAGGCAAAAGGGACCTGAATTAGTCTGAATAGCTGAGAGGCTGAGAGTAGGGGTTGGAGGTTGTGTGACCTTTCTTTCTCTCTCTGCTGCTGCTTCATGGCAGAATCCCATCATTACTGTGAGGCTGCTCTTGAACACTAGTGTAGCACTCTTCCATTAAAAAGCACTAAATCTGTGTTCAAAAGTAGTACAAACAATAGCTGATCGGCCTCTAGGGGGATTGCGTGAGCCAATTCTTTCTCTGCCACTTCACCCCATCTGTCAGTTGTTCAAGCTGTTTTTGAGTTGGGATTTAGTACTCTTCCAGTATAGTGCTAAGCCCATGTTCAAAAGCAACCCCTACAAGAAATGAAAGGCGCAGTGAGGAAATTGTTCCATGAAGCAACCATCTCATCCTCATTTCATCTCACCTTTCATCCACCCCTAGTCAGTTGTTATTCAGGCTGATTTTTGGCTCAGAGACCTGGCATGTACAAGGAAGATGTTTGTTTGGAAGAACAGGAAGAACTGGACTCTCTCACTACTCAAGCAGAATGGCCCTAGAGGACAATGCCCACGACCAGGGTGGAGGGACATGTCTGTACCAATCTAAAGTTGTGAATATGTGCCATGCCGATCCCACTTCCATTCCCCAAGTGTCATCTGGTGGCACCACTGACAATATGGTTGGTGAAGTGCATCAGATTGTGTCCATGGTGAAACTGCTGCAGTTTGTTGACTGCCTAATAGGGAAAACTATCTTTAACACTGAAACATCCCTTAAGGATGACTTAAAACTTTTTAGAATATGAGTCAAGGATGAGATGAAGACAATGTAAGGGGACAACAAAAGAAAAAAGTGGTTACCAGGGCATATTTGAACCAGGGTTAGACGCTTTAGACCAGTGTTTCTCAACCTCAACTACTTTAAGATGTGTGGACTTCAACTCCCAGAATTCCCAGCTAGAATTTTGGGAGTTGAAGTCTACACATCTTAAAGCAGTTGAGGTTGAGAAACACTGCATTGAACAATGGAAAATAATGTCTTATATGCTTTCCATATTTCCTATATGTGGGTATGTTGAGCCTCATAACATTTTCTAAAAAGCCTCTTTCTCTTTTTAACAGAAAAGTTTCCCTGTTCTACTCCATACCTTCCAGTTATCTCCAACTCATCATCAGATGTCCCTTTCCTGCAATTCATTAATGCTTTACTCTCTGTTCCCCTTCCTTGCAGTGACCCTTGGCCCATCAGGAACCTACAGCTCCAACAGCCCAGCCAGCCCTTTGAGCTCAGCTAGCCTCACAAGCCCCCTGAGCCCTTTCTCTCTTGTGTCGGGATCCCAGAGCTCCCCTACCAAGCAAGGCAGCAATGAGGTGAGCAAATCTCTCATCAGTTAGAATGGCAGAAGATGCTGGAAAATGGAAGCAGCCAGAAGATGGTCTTTAATGCTTTTGTTTTAAAGATTATTATTCCACCAGTAGGTGGAGATCTAGACCTTCTTCTGACATGGATGGGATGGACTAATTTTCTCCCCCCCCCCCCAAAATGGCCACAGTTTAGATCTAAGCATTACATTATTGGTTTACAACTCTTGAATTATTTCAGAGAGCCAGCCAGTTAAAGATTGTGAAATTGGCTTCAAATCCTTGAAAGCCTCTAGAGTTTGTTTCTCGTGGCAATACTAGTGCCAGACTAAGATGTGCAGTAGCCAAGATGATACAGAAAGGACCTCCTACTGTAAGATAAGGAGGTAGACCTATCACTGGTATACTGATGTAACAGTAGCTTGCCACAATTACAGATTCTATGCAGTAAGACTAGCAGTAAGCATAAGGACTGGAAATCTAAAGAATAGATTCCTGGGAGCTGGTATTTTGTGCACCAGTTTACCTGCAAAACTCTGTACACAATTGGATTTATTTATTTATTTGTTTGTTTGTTTGTTTGTTTGTTTGTTTATCAAAGCTCCCCATCCCTTCTTTCTTTATGCTTGTACAGTTGGCATAAAACTAATGATGCATCTGAGTAGCACATGGGTTTTAAAAAAAAATTGGTCCCTTCTGATTTGCACCTCTGTTCAGAACATAGTCTAAGGACTCACCCTCACAACCTGCTGGCTGAAGCATGTAGGTGCTTTCCCAACCATTTTTGAGGGCCACGTCTTCATGATCTTGCCTGCATCTCACCGCCAGTCTGTTGCTGAAGCAGTCTTGAGCTGCCTTTAATTGTTCCAATTTGGAAGTAAGGTTTTCTTTCTTCTCCCTGAAAATCTTGGGTACCTTGGGACAAGCCATGATACAGTCAGGGATAGCAATCTCTTCAGCTCCAGTTGGCTCAGTGAGTCTGCTGTGGAAATATCCCCTCCCCATCCAGTTGTTGGGCATGGCATCTCTCTATCCATTTTGTCTTTGGCTATGAGAGAGAACAGGAGCAGGCTTTGGCTGGCCTTTTTTTCATTACAAAATTGAACTATTTGGTGTGGGTGGGTGTTTGGGTGCACATGCTGGGGAAATAGTAAATTAGGGATATTGTGTGAGATACGCAAATGCACATATACAGGTACACACATTGTGAAAGGGGGTTGGAAGAGAGAGGAAGCTCTTTCTCTGGACAAACGTGTTTCATGATTGTCACTGGCTTCAGGAGGGAGAAAGCAAAGAAAGATCCAGAGGCATAATAGTCAGTTTGGGTACCTCTGTTTTGTATTTCAAATTGGTTATTCTGAACTTTCAGGCAGATTTTTGTGGGGGTGTGTTATTTGACATAGATATATCCATCTTCTGTTTTTCTGGCAGGATTGTCAGCCTCTTAGGAGAGTGACAGTCCTATGGATACAAGGTGCTATCTAGAGGTTGTTTGGGAAATTGATAGTTCTATCAGAAGAAGCACCCAGTAAATGATAAGAATTCAGGCCAAATAAATGGTGTAAATTCAACTGATCTCCATTTTAAAAAGTCCCTTACAGATCTTGGCAATGAATGCTTCAGTGCCCTAAAAGTCTGGAATGACTTAGTTGCATGGTAATGTATGATATTAATTTTGCATCTTCCTTATATGGTAGCAAGTTCATCCACCATAAACAGAAACTTCAGTCATTGGACTGAGCCAAAAGATGAGGAGAATCTGACAGCTTACTTCCTTGCCAGTAAAAGATTATGCAGACATTGATAGACCATGTCCTTTCCATTGTATCAGAGTGATAGATACATCAGGACAGGGCAAATGGTTTTAATTAAATGTCTAGGTTAAAGGGAAGCATCTTGTTGAGCTATTCTGTCATCAGAATCAAACTCCTGCCCTGAAACTAACATCAACCCTAGCTCCGCTCATGTTCTGTCCCTACACATGTGTGGAACATCACTTTCTATGTTGCTAAAACCTGTGACCTCAATGTTTATGAATCACCAACAGGTCTTTTAAGTCTACATCAGCCATGTCTTCAGATACTGCTTTGCATTGTCTGGCAAAGCAGCAGATTGTGCTGAGATCATAAAATATTTGTATTTTGAAAAATGTGTGTCGAGAGGATGCATATTTTGAAATGGCAGATATTTTTGAAGCAAGTGAAAGTTAAGTCCTCATCATATTATGCACATACATTATCAAGTGATGCCAGGCTAACAGTAGTATTCTCTGGATTGGTCCTGGGTTGTTCACCAAGGAAAAAGGCTGTTCATTTTTACCCCTGAGTTTTTGGTGCTCAGATGCAGGTGCCTATCCTGGGTTTAACATCAGTCCCTGTATGTATCTGTGTCTCACTAATTCTCTTTTCCTTCCCATTCTCACAGTTTCTTTGCTCTTACTCCTAATGCTTCTTGGTTTCCTCTCCACTCCAGGAGCCTGGTCCACCTCGACCTCCCCTCCCCAAATCATATGTGCCCTTGGAGTCTCCTCCGACTATCCCTCCACTTCCTTCTGAAAGCCGTCTCTGGCCATATCCTAACTCCCCTTCTTGGCAGGAAAGCAGCGAGGCGAAGAGGGGACAGGTATCAAAATGGAGTCTGAGATCTAGAGGCATAGTCTATCCTTTGCTACCTTCACCAAGCAATGGGGCGGCGGGAGGGGGGAGCCCATTGTCTAACAGTAATCTTTCTTGCTTGTGTCTGTTGTGTCTTTAAGCTCATAATAGATCAAGATAGTGCCATATGAGGCACTTTTTCTACAGGTAGATTATATCCAGGTATGAAAATTGTCATTAGCAAACAACTGGCCTTTTTGAGAATGTAAACTAATGTTTGTTTAGATAATCATGGATGAAGATAAAAGGTAGGCATAGGTTTTCAAAACAGATATCTAGGCTAGAAACACAAAATAGGAAGGAGGGAGATTTAGAGAAATTAAGTCACGTTACCAAGGAATTTGCTGTTTTAGGGGGACACCTCCATCCCACATTTACAGCAGAAAAGGGGGGGGGGGGGGTGCATGTTCTTGAAAGAATTCAGATCTGCAAAACTTATTTAAGCAGAAGCAACAAGCAGTATAAAAGTAATAGAGTATCTGCCTCCAGCCCTCAGACATCACACAAAAAACTAAGTTACTGAAGCAAAAAATGAGCTGAGGCATGGCTACAAGAATTTAAAGTCCTTTGTTTCTCACAAAACAAAGCATTGTGCAGCATTGTGTTGAAATTCTAAACTATGTTTAGTCTTAACCATGGCATCTTGAAACTCATGATTTGAAATCAGTTGGTTTTGAAACAAAAAATAGTTTAAATAAATAGTTTGTTGGGCTTAGATGGCATAATTATCATTTTGCCATTGGTCCAAATGCCACCTGTATTTATACTAGTGGACAAAGTTGTCTATGCCTTCATTGGTCCCTCTGTCCAGTAGAAGAGTGAAATATAAAACATGTCCATCAGCAATGATGTCAAGAATAATAATAGAACGAACAACAGCTCATTTCTCAGAATAAGCCTCTTCTCCATTTTAAAAATAATCTTTGATTGATGTCTGTAAAGTTTAACAGAATTTCCAGGGTGAATTTCATGTATGTTGAATCTTACATAGTAAGTGACTGAGTTGGTTGCTCAGTAAGTATGAAAGGGAATTATCTTTCACTCAATTCTCGTAAGAGTTGGTTTGATAAATGCAACCAGCAGAGGCCATTTGCAAGAAACCTGTAAACGTTCTGCCAATTCCACTTTAAATTTCCCTGTCTTTTCCCAGTGGAATTCCATACACGTTGTGTATCAAAAGGATGGTGTAGCCTTAAAGTTTGGGAATTTAGGGAAAACCCAACAAAATATAATCAAGTCATTAAAAAATGAAAGAAAAGTCATAAAAACAATGGAAATAGTATTAAAATGTTGATGTTCTTTATGCCCTGAAATTGATTTTACAAATCTTAATATTTCAATCATCATAATATAAGCATTCCCCACAAAAACTGGTTTTTTAAAAATAACCTATTTTGAACTAGTACTAGTAATTTTGACCACCCACAGTGATGCTAAAGCATATTAATTTCTACAAAGTAAACAAAGGAGATGCGAGTCAAATACTAATCTCCATTACTGTAGATCTACACTGAAACTTCAGGTCTTCTTCAGCCCAGACCACCCTTTCTCAACCTGGTATCCTCCTCATGAGTAGAATCATAATGCATCAAATAAATGCCAGGTTAGGAAAGACTGCCCAAGGCATTCAATACTAGCTGATGCCTTTATTTTGTTCATGGTTAATTGTTACATGAACCCAAGTGAATTTACTATGATAAACATAAACATGACCAACTCAAAAGATTCTTTGGAGCAAGTGGCCAAGTATAATGGTTGTAAATGTTCAAGTCTGTTCTGCCAGCCCTTTCCACTCTGTTCATCACTATGACTTTTAGTCCTATTGTCTTTTTCCACTCCTCAACTAAGCCTCTGTGATAAGTCATAGAAATGGTACTGAAATGAAGCAGAAGAAAAAGAACTTGGATTGCAGAGTATCCAAGACAGTGAGTCTTTTCTGCAGAATATTCCTCTTCATGTAGTTGCTGCTATTTTTGTTTTCTAATTAAGGACAATATAATTTCTCCAAATATCCTGTTTAGGTGTGGTTTCTAGTTTCCATTTTATAGAAATTTCAATTTATAAAAGTAGAGTGCAGGTGGCAGTTTATCTCATGAACTTTACTCACCAATGTATATCCAGCTGGACATTTCTAATTCCTCGGGGAATCCACTAGGAATAGAAATCCCTGCCATCCCTGGATATTTTACTTCACTTGAACAAAAACCATGTTAATGAAGTAGACATCTGCCCCATCTTTTCATCAGCTGACTGGTTTTTGATTGATTGAATTATTTTGGAATGGAGAAGAAAAAAAATCTGCAGAGATGCTTCTGACTCTTCTTTCGGTATGCTCATTCTTGTTTGTGTTTTCCTCTTATTGCCTATTTTTTTTCTTCTCTGTTTTAACTCTGTGTTAACCATCTACAATCAGAATTATGAGTTGGGTGGCCATATAAATTGCTTAAACAAAAACAAATACATGTTTGAGTCTTCAATTTATGTGGTTCAGGAAGGTAACAGCTGTCTATAGCAGTTCTCTTCAGCAAGGTCAGCCACTTTTCAAAGGAAATATATTTTCCCCACAGTCAAAGTCCAGCTTTGAGCAGAGCAAAAAGGACCATCACCGGGCATCAGTTTCCCATTCGACAATGGAGGCTGGTCTCTTGCAGCCAAGGCAGGACCAAGATGCTGATAAGCAGGTGGCACTCAACAAAGGTACCTGTAAACTGCATGCGTTAAGAGAATCCATTTGTTTGCTGGTTTTATGTTCTTTACCAGCTTCAAAAGCCATGCTGGCTGGGGATGGTAGGAACTGTAGTCTGGTACATAAAATCCAATACAGATTGGGGATAATTGGTATAAACCTTTGTATCCCTCAAATTCAGGAAAAATAGGTTTTTAAAACCATAATACCTAGGAATACTTTAAAATATGCAAAGCCCTGTATCCCCAAATTCCTTTGTTCAGAGCAATATCATAGTATACAAAGTCAGTATACAACATCACATAGAGAGAGACTGAGTTCACACACACACCAACCCTAGCATGTTATATGAGCCTGGTCATTCATAAGCCATGACTTATACCTTAACTAACAATCCATCCATTTTGGCTTATTAAGCAATCAGTGGTAAAACAAATCTTGATTGCAATTGGTGAACCCATCCACAGACTTTCACAATGGGGAAAACTGCTGCTTGAGGGTTATTGTCTTGTTAACTAGCTTGTGGGCCTGCCAGTGAGCTTGGTCTCATTCAGTAAGGCTCTTCTGAAATGATTTTAGCAAGAAAGTAGTTCTTGCTCCTTTAGGTCTGAGCAAATGGGATTGTAGGATGAGGACTATTAGGGTTCCAGTAAAATAGCAGCTTTTGTAGCTTAGTTCTGGAATTCAGCACCTTGAGATGTTTTCAGTGCAGGTTGCTGCTGGAATCATGGGTACTGCCTAAGGCCTTCATTCCTGTTCCACTTTTCCAAGGGAGTGCCTAATTTGAATTAACCAAATGCAATAGAGAATCCTCTCTTTAGTTGTTTGGAAGAGATCATTTTAATAGGTACAGTCTGGCTGCATACATCAAAACTTCCCCTTCTATATATCTTTTACCAATATAAGAGGTCAGTCCTTATATTTATTTCAATGAACTTATTGACATCTGTGAATTCTGGATCTTGATCTCTCAAAGTTTTTTAAACATTTTAATTGCTGCTTTAGAATTGCATTCATTAATTTATCATAAGCTACCTTTGGCATCTAAAAGATGCAATATATTTTAGACATTAGTAAATCTGGTTTCCATGAGAGTTTTATTTGTCAAATATTGATATCTTGGTCTCCTAAATGTTGTAAACTATATAGTTGAGCTATGGTGGGAAAGCTTTTAGCCCTTAGTATAGAAGGGACCCACTTGTCTCACATAAGAATTTTTGTTATCTGTCACATGGATGGATGGATGGATGGATGGATGGATGGATGGATGGATGGATGGATGGATGGATCTATCTATCTATCTATCTATCTATCTATCTATCTATCTATCTATCTATCTATCTATCTATCTATCTATCTATCTATCTGATAC